CGTGAGGTCATTGAACGATACGACACTCACAAAGGTGACATACGGAAAATACGCCACTCGGGTCCCGGATGAAGTGGCGTATGGAATCTACGAGTGGTTTAGTTCCCAGTAAAACACTCTTCTCCATATAATAAAGTGTAAAACTAAACTCATTATGCCAGAACTTACAGGTCAGTGGAAGCAGTTATAATTGCATTGCCATCAAAAGATACATGCTCGACACCACCAGTGTGGCCTTGAAATGACCTGCCAAACACAACATACGACTGCATTGCAGACTGCAAAATGAATGCAGGGGTAAATAATAATTTCACTGTAGTCAGGCTCTCTCATTCAACCTGTTCATACTGCCCATTTTCTGAAGTTGCTTCAAGTTCAAGTGGGATCCTACAGGCCCCTTAACCACTGAAGCAATGATGTCCTATTATTATTACTGCCTTGTAATTGGATACAGGTGTTCTTTTTGCACTGGGAAAATAAATCAAAATTTAACTGAAGACATCACACTAGGAATACTTAAAAACTTTGTTCAGATCATGCAACCTCTGTCTCACCTAGACCTGTCTGCAAACTTGTACAGCTAAGGGTCTGCCAGGCCTCAAGAGGGTGAGACAAATTAATCACCTATAAATTAAACTTTAAGAAGAGAGTCACTACTAAATGGTTTATAATAAGTTATAACCAGCCGGCAACTAATAAAAACAAGTCAAATAATCAATCAAACCTTAGGCATTGTCCAGATTTAAGATCAAATAGTCTGATAACTCCATCTCCACAACCAGTGACACAAAGAGATCCCTGCAGCAGATGGATGCAATCTGTTATCTAGACATTTTGCCAAAAAGACCTCTCCCAATTCATTTACCATTCACAAGGCATTTATTGACTGCAACTGCAACTTTCTATCAAGTCTATGAATAGAAGCCTTTTCTATATTAAAATTTTATTGAGTATTCCAGATTTTTATTCTAAACCAAATTTAATTTTCAATTTGGTTGTAAATAATCCATGATCTCAATCTTAGACATTTGTGTCCTTTTTGATTAATTTTTACAGACCTCTTGAAGTTTTTTATTATTATGTTTTCTGTCATATTATCAGGAAAAAATTGAATTATTTTCTTCATATTGAAGTTCTGTATGAAATGTAGTTGATTTTGATCTTGTTATATACTTAATATGAAAAACTATTTTCCTCAGAGATATCAGCTGTACATATGTAGTGTACCCTATAAACCATCTGGACAATACTTGAATTACCAGTGACATACTTTGTTTTGTTAAATCACCTTTAGGTCCACACATCTCACAGTATCAGTATGCGGAGAGTCCAACACAAGAACACACTTGGTAGCTTCAACATCCCATACACGCACAGTGTTATCTGATGAACCAGACACAATGGTTCTACCTGGGAAAAAAAGAACAAACTTAGATGTAGGATTACTTATCCCTTGGATGAATAGAGGTCAAAATACATGTAGCCACAACTGAATATTTCACATGATGTTAATTACCATCGCAAGCCATGCAGGTGATAGGATCTTTGTGTCCTCTCAGAAGTGGAGCCACAGAGTATCGCCCTTGTGCCCAGTTCCTGTCAAGTGACAGAGCCCTCATATAGATGTTCTTCCATCTGCAGGTAGCAGGGCTTAATATATAGAAGTCCTCTGATAAAGGTATATTTGAGCCTTGAGAGACTGGCGCATGAGGGGTTTGTAAAAGATCTTCACCAAACCTATCCCATCCGTGTTGCACACAAAGACGATACCTGAAAAATGACAGCATAATAATTATAACAATCACATGCAAATATTGCTGGCTGGAGGGATCATGTGTACTTAGAGGCACCAGTGATCGAGTGTCGATCGATACCCTCAATCAATCCTTGATCGACCCTCAATCGATACTCGATTACACCTCAGTCGACAGTCGATCGACACTTGATCAACATCTCGGTCGGCAGTCAGTCAACAGTCAACTAATTTTTGCAGACATGCCATCAAGTGTCCATCAGTACAAATGAGTCGGTAGACACACCACCGACTACTGACTGACTGTTGAGCAACTGGACTATGACGATCGAGTGTTGATTGAGACGTTGATCAAGTGTCAAATGAGTGTCAGCTGAGTATTGATTGAGATCTCCATCAAGTGTCAATCGAGATGTTGATGGAGTGTTGATTGATTGAGGGCAGGACTGAGGGTATCGATCAACACTTGACCGCAGATACCCTTAGTACACATGATCCAACTGGAGGGTAATAGTTCTGGGTTATTTTGTTATATTTGGATGCAATATCATTCCAAGTTGTCAGTAATTAATACCAGAACTTTAACATATGAGTATGAATTGCAAATACAAATAGTAATAAGTCAGAACCATACCAAATTGCATTATGATTTGACCTTTCCCTCCACAACTTATTACACTGTGCAACATGGCAAAGTGATTCAACGGGAAGATATGAAAAGATCCGCTCTGCCAATTCCTTTGGAAGTGATGCCACAAAATCTACAGCCAGTAGTGGTCTTAGCTCATTGTAAAGCAACCGCAACTGAAGTGGCTAAAAAAGAAATTACAGTCAAAACAATTATTAATGTAATTATTAAATTTTAATGGTAGACGAATGTGCAGTACATGTATGCACATTTAGACACTTATTCAAGTGAACATCTCATCCATCACAGTTAGCTATGCACTACCAATTTTGGGTTGAATAGTAATCAATAACCCAATAGCTCAGCAGCCCAAGCCGATCAGCCTAGTCAGATCAACCCTCTATTTCCACCTCATATTATTGTAGCCCCTTTATTAACTCTGTTCACGTTGGTTTATAACTCTGGGCGTGGTATGCTTCCCAAGCCCCAGTTCCTTCCCCAGTTGCTAGTTGATCACAGATTTTAACCACCTCGGAAACAGGATAAATATCAAAAGCATCCCCCCTGGCCCCACCTCAACTTCAACAAAGAGCCAATTTTCTCCAGCCCCAACCCCCCATCCACTAACAAACATTTAAAAGACAGAGAAACCTGACAGAGAAACCTCTTCAGAAATGACATTTCAGCTACTTTGAAAAAAATATGATGGATATAATTATTAGTATAGAGTCATAATGAGAATGGCAATGAACAGCACTCATACAAATAGCCTGAATTTCAGCAAGTAAAATTGTACTTCTATGTAGGTTTAATATACAGTAAGCTCTATTTAATCAACTACTATAAAAAAAAAATTCATGTGTATTTACACATCATTTTGTACGAATTATATCAACTCTGGCTGATCGAGTAGATAAGTGATTATAAAATGCTGGGCAAATTGAATTTAATCCAGCTGGCGGACGATTACAGCTAAAATCCTTGAAAATTTAGTCTACCAGGCTTAATTATGAAAATCGAAATTTTGTGAGCGGAGAGTTAAGGTACTTTGCAAACCTGGCACTTGAGAAGGATTTCTCTCAGGACTTCATTTTGCTGATCTCGGGTGAAATCTTGGAAAGTGTTGACAAACACTTTCGCGTTCTCCTCAAAGCTCATTCCTTTTAGTGCCGCTTGAAACAGATTAGACAAGATGATGCATTAAGATGATCATTGAGCTCGCGGCACCCAAGGGTTCACAGTCTCGGGAATGAAATTATGGTCAGCAGTTTCTCGAGACAATTCAAAATGGCGGACGAATTCCAGTGAAGACTGTTTACAAACAACTTGAAAACTGCTGTATTCATTAACTATTCTGCAAGCAAAGAGACTGAAAGACCTTTCAACTGTGTTAAATCTCAAGGAATATGGGAATTGTTTTCATCTACATTTCACCAGTGTCGTAGCTACAATAGTCCTGGGTGATCTGGGAAGATATTTCCTTGTGACTCGTCGTTTCATGGTGTGTCTGAAGGCATTCTGTATGGAATCTTTGGCATAATTGTTGGCGATTTTTAAAAGAAGAAGTTTTGGTAATAGATCTGGCTTTCTTGACGTTCTTGTTCAAAGGAAATGTGAGATTTGCAAGGCTCATCATTCGCTCATTCACCGATAGATGATCAACTTTGATGTTGTAATTCTTATAAACTTAAATTAATCTTCATCAATCGAGCTTAACTATTTGTCATGCAGCGGGGACTAACGGAGAAGGACAGGCGTCGAAACACCTCTAATGAGTGTCAAGCTCTTCGAGATCTAGCGAACAAACTGAAGTTGGAACTTTTACAAAGCCAAGTGGAAACTCAAAAAGTTAAAGATCAACTCCAGTGTGTTATTTATCTAGTTCGTAGGTGAGTCACACATTAACAAACCAGTGAGTATGTTATTAAGCTTGTGCAGCAGCTGCTTTTTTGAACGAGAAGAGGTGACGCTTAATTTTTGAAAGGCGAGAGGCGAGAGAAACCTTCAGCCTGGGATAAAGGGATACTTCTTTTCCTCACCAGCTTACCTCTCCCCCACCCAACAAGTCGACACATGCACCACACTATACTTGGCTGGCCCTCGGTGCTCAGTCCTAGTTGCATTTTTTTTTTTTTTTTTTTTTGATGAATTAGAAGTCCAATGACTGATTTAAGCTTGCTGAAAGAGTTCTTAGAAATACATGTAATTATACATCATAGAAGTCTGACATTTTGTCCTTCCTAACATGATTTTCAAGGCAATCAAATTAAAATCAAGGTGCATGGAAACATATATCAATTCATTTTATTGACATTTTTGTGCGTGCTATACATGTATGAATATTTCCGCGCAGATAGAATCTGCCTGCACCTTCTAAAGCTAGCATTCTTCCATTATCTTTCATAAATGAGACACTTGAATTTGTTTTCATTGGCGCAGTTGTCAGTGACTAAAAAGTTGTTAATAAAATTAACATGTAGTTTTATTAACATTCTGCACCCCTCGTGCATGACAATTGTTTGTCCACTGAAGAGTTTAGTGCTCTGTGACACTTCAGTATAGAGGTCAGTATACAAATTGTTGTTGAAGTAGTGTTTAAGTCAGCTCATTGCTGCATGTTATTGTATTATACTTCTACATAACAGTGTAATATAATTATTTTTTATGGTCAAGAGCTTGGCAGGGAGATGAAACAGCATCACTACATGTTGCAAACATTGTTGGTAAGTTTATAGAAACATAGACGAGACAAGATGAGAGAATTGTGAACATTTTCGTTAATACTGCGATTTGAGTGCGTTTGAACAACACTCACACTTTCGGGCATTGTGTGTTTTGTCTTTTTTCGGGGAATAAGGTCACTGTGCCCACCCCAAGTCCGAAGGTGCCCGTACGCCTATGTACAAAAGGAGGGTTTCCTGAGTTACACATCACTGCTTAAGATGAACAATAATTATGAACTTCTCAGAATTCCATCTTTATTTACCCCTCTCTTTCCAAAGATGATAATGTGAGGCATCATTTGAATCAACACATTACTTCTTCAGAGATGACACTACATAACTTCAGTGTCCTCTCAGTTAGGTTTTTCAATCTTATGCCCTCCTCTACTTCCTAACCTACTTCCCCTCCCCCATGTGCCTCTAAATCTTTAAAATGGCCTTGTTCAAAGAAAGACGCCTCACTGAGGTCTGTAGTCTAACAGAGGTTTTATGAAACTTAGCCTGTTACCCATTTCTCTTGTACACTTGTCTTTCATCTAAATTAATATTTTTTTGGAATAGTAGTTAATTGTTTGCCAAAGAATACAACTAATTATATATCCACATTAAATACATAATTATATTTTTCTGATTAATTATTAGTAAATATTGTATAACTTACAGGTGTAGCACCACCAAAGATTCAGAGGTCAAACTTGAATGAGGTTACAACCACACCCAAGGTATGTCCAAACCATGTCTAGTCTTTAAGTGCCATGTAGCAGATGATCTAGACATAATTATTATATCATTACATTTTTGTCTGTGGTATAATATTTGCCCTAACATTTTGATTTTTATTTCTGTCAGTCAAGAGCGCTGAATGGCTGGGCGAGGCTTGTAATTGGTCTTTTAAATCGCATGTACCATGAGGAGGAACTTGACCTGCGAGCTCAGCAACTTCTGTACATGCGTGACAGAGAAGAACTCCTTGACGAACAGCTCATGTCACACAAGGATGTCATGCAACATCAAACAAATGTTTCTTTTCTACAAACCAACACTTTACAGTTACTTCAGGTACAAGAAAAAAAATCATGAAGCCATTATACAGTATATTTTTAAAGCAGTTACTGTAATGCATATTGCCAAGTATAATATTGACTGTAGCCCCACATTACAGGTGTATGTAACTTTTAAATCCCTTGAGAGGAATGAAACATCTTAAATTTATGCCTTATCTAGTTATTGTATGTTAACTGCTTATGAGCTGGTCAAATGGGTCAATGGAACCCATGGTCGCAGTTCTTCAAAGTATATTTCAGGAAAGAAAAACAACCACAACAACAGTCAAATGCAAGCTGTATTTTGACTAACTTTTGCAATGTCATATACAAAACCCCACAAACCCAACAAAATTCCTCTAAATGCAGGTTTAAAAGTGATGGTTATAATTTGCAGGCTAGAGAGGAGGAAAATGCACGTCAGAGAGCAGAGGAAAGAGAGCGACTTGAGCAGCAGAAACAAGAGCTTCATGCAAAGTTTAGAAGAAGAGTTCCACCAAAGTTTCACCCACTCAACCTGGGACAGAAGGACAGTGTTCAGAGAGAAACAGACTTAGATATCTCAGAAAACTTGCTCGTCAGTCCAGTCAGGAGCAGAAATAAAGAACATGTCTCTACAGAGGTGGATGAAAGTGTACATGTAAGTTGACACGTTTAATTTAAAGGTTCTTGGATTTTGTCCCTGTCTTACATAATCTCTTTCTGCTCTATAGTAGTCTTCGTTTTCTAACTTAAGAATTTGTTAGTAAGTAAAATATTATTTCAAAGTAAATTTGTACATCGTGATATGACACCTTTAACGAAGCACCCAGAAGATTTAATCTTGCATCTTGTGCACGTAATACTTAGTACACTCTGTGTTTTGTACGCCTTGCTCATTCTGTTTTAACGTTTTCTCATCTATAGAGACTTGCAAATGCCTGTAGCCTTCAAGATCTTGAGGATGAAAAAATCAGTGAAGGTTAGAATGAGTTGACATCTCTCCTGGAGAGAGCTTCTTTTAACGAAGACAAAGCAGTTGCACTGTCCCTCTATTTAACGATTAGATTATGAGCTCGAGATTTCTATCACGCATATAAATCGAGAGCGAATAATCTAATTGTTTTAGCATAAATGTACTAGTCGTTCAAAACTTTATCTAAATCCTCTTCAAAGAAGCGGCCGTCAGTTTGTTAACAAGCGCTCATTGCTACGCTACTCACCATCTACAACAGAATAGATAGTGTGTAACGTAGCCAATCAGAGAACGCCATTTATGATAGAACGCTGGTAGATTAATATACTAAAACTCGATAGAAACACTGTACATGTTTTCGTTTCCTTAAGTAGTGAATGATCACTCAGGTTGCCTCATTTGCATTGGCGTTCGGCTTAAATTCTACTAATAAAAGAAATGTTAGTTCTTATTTCCACTCATCGTTGCTCGCCAGTTTATTCCAAATTTGTCTCTTTTCTTGCGTGCCATTTAGAAGCATCCCCCGTGGATAGTCAAGTTGTAAACGGTCACAAGGTTAGATCATGTATGCCATTCTATTTTTGTTGTTGTTGTTGTTGTTGTTACTTCTGCTATTGCTGTTATTGCTGCAGCTGTTTTTGTTCTTGTTATTGTATTTCTAAGTTGTCTTTTTTTTTTTGTCTTTTGCCAAACTCATTTCGTTTACATTTGTTTCAGAGTTCTAATGGTGTTTTCCTCACGAGAAGACGATCCAGTTCGCTAAGCCGGTAAGTGCGGGTTTTCTTTTCATTTACTTTCTACGGTTTTCAAGTTCACCGATATGAAATTGATGTTCTTTCCTCAAGTGTCTTCTTTCTTTCTTGCTCTTTATGAGATGATTCAATGTAGATCCAGAAAAAAATTAAATAATTATACTTTTTGTTATAGACCAAAGTTTTGCTGTTGTTGTTGTTTGTTTGTAACTTGTTTTTAAATCAGACATTTTCAGTCCATCTGTACTCCTATTTGATAGGTTTTACTTAATAGTATCAGAATTAGTATCATTACAGTCACTAATATAGCCTGCGAACGCAGACGTATTTCCGGCTGTCGCTTGTCTCCCCCAAATATAACGTCTGCGAACCCGAGCCAGGAAACGATTTCTGTGACATAGGAATTTTAAGCCAATCACAATTTAGCTCAAGTAGCCCCAGAGCTACTGCGCGAGGTATTCGCTGCGAGGAGCACTCGAGTTTCATTCTACCATGGAATCTGATTGGCCAAGGAGAAACAAAAGTCATTACGTCCCAGAAATCGTTTCCTGGCTCGGGTTCGCAGACGTTATTTTCGGCGGAGACAAGCGGCAGCCGGAAATACTAATACGTCACGATACTTAATTTGTACGACATGAGTTTTTCTAATTATTTTGTCTTTTAGGGAGGAAGTAAATTTACCAAAAGAAAAGAAACAAGGATCAGCTCACGTACGTGTAAAATGAAAGTTTTATCACAGTTTTATGACTTCCAACGCCTTTCATTAACACACATGCAGCAAATTGACCCCCTGAATCACCACTCAAGAGTGACTTATTTAAAATGCAGGGAATTGAACTGATCGAATTTAGGTCAATCTAAGAAAGGTCACACTAACATGTTAAACATGTTTAAAGTGGTTTAACTAAACAAGATTACATAATAGTTGTTCATACCGTGTTTACCTTACACCTTAGCAAGGTAAAGACCTTTTTGATTATAACATCGTAGCAAAGTGGTTTGAAATTTGTCTTCTTAAACTGACTGCAAAACGTAATCGACAAATTGGAAAAACCTAAACTTGATTCATTTAAATTAGAGCTCAACTTTTAGTTGAACTAAGTTTAGTTGGTGTGAATGGGAAATCAGTCATTAACTGCTAAATTTTTTATATAGGTAACGAACGCGCATGCACTACAGTGCAAATTGAAACTTAATGATTAATTGGCCTGCTCTCAGTAAATCACAATGAAGTAATAACAATGACGATACTGCATATTCATTGGGCAGTCAAGAAAGCTCTTTATTTGTTTTTCGTTTTCTTTTGTAGCATGTTCGTTCACAAACGAGCGAAGGGACTGGAAAGAGAGGCAACATGCAGTCGGCTAGACCCAGACCCAGAACCGCGGGTACGTGGGATACAAATTGCCTTGTACAATGATTAAACGTGTACAGCCACCTTGGATTGTAAACAGTACCTGATGTAGTAGATTAGCAACAAATTTCTTGTCAATGAATAATGATGTACATGTACATGTACATGTACATATACGTGTGGTTACCTAGAGAGAGGTGCGAAGTTCTGCACTTGGGCTCATCAGGTCGGTTCTTCTCTCCAGTTTCTGTAGAATGAAGCGACTAAGAGTATTTCTACTCCCCTGTCCCGCCGGATGGGTTACTACACCTTACTAGTCCATTGCAGGGTTACCCCCAGTATTTAATTCTCTGTTACATGTACCCATTTATACACCTTGGTGTAGAGAGGCAATGTGAGAGTTAAGTGTCTTGCCCAAGAACAAAACACAATGACCCCCCGCCAGGGCTCGAACCTGAAGCGCTCGCCATTAGGCCATCGTACCTCCCACATGCTTGTATAAGCAGCTGCTTATATATTTAAACAACTGATTAAGTCCGGCAATCAACCTGAATTCCAAGGGCGCATTTGCTTACTTATCGTTCGTAGCATGCACGTTTCTGGAGTTAGTTGATCGTTACCCCTTTTCAAGATTTCTATCTTAGCCCACTTTCGCGGGCTCCGGTAATCAACTCAGTACTGGGTCTACGAAGATGTGTTACGTTCGAAGACGAAAATTACTCACCAAACGACCATTGCGATACCTTTTCCAGTGTGTCCATGCAGTTTGCAAAGTTATTAACGCTGAGCCACCCTAAATAACACCTGTAGTAATGTTGGCTTTGCTCTCATACTTCAGCCGTGAAAAGCTCCACTACATTGGGAAGCACAGGTGTAAAAAGTAAAAGAAGACCTTTGTCGGCTCACGTGACGCAGCCCATGCCCCGGGGCAAGCCGCCTCCAACCTTCGACACAAGTAAAACCAGACGACAACTGGATGTTATTGAAAGGGACTTAAAATTAACAACAAAAGCACTTCAGGATCGACTGGGTATCTCTAAACAGGGCTTTGTATGAACGGGACGATCAAGACTCAACGAATGTAACGCACTGTCAATGGAAGAGGTACAAGGCACCTGGCAAACTGACCGGCTATGAGGGCGATCTTGCCTGCCTGGTTTGACCATCTGGGAGGAAAATTTTACTTCAAACATTAAGTTCAGTTCAAAAAGGTTTTGCCTGCCAGTGAAAACCGATTCTCTTCCTGCTGAAAGTCTTAATGAAACGCATGCAATGGAGGGCCTGGATGGGGCTTACATGTACCCTGTACTGATTGCTGGGAATTCCTGGTCAAAACTGTAACCGCGAGCTGAGAAGTGACACGTTGGTTTTACTGATAGCTGAGATCTGACGGTCTTTCATGCTTGATATATTACATCATTGTTACTACAATTGTTGTTTGTCACAGTTTTAAAGACGTCAGAGCACAGCTTTGACATATTTTCAATTTAACTTCGAGAATTTGCATGGGATACCCCTTTCATTTGGGAGATACACTTTGGTCAGCATTGAAGAGCTTAAAAACCTATTATATTTGCAATTGTCTTGCTCACAAACATNTTGTTGTTGTGTTTGCTTCACAAAGTACAGAATCGCCATTAGACTAGGAGTATTCCTCTTTCGCTTAGCTGACCGTAAGTAAACCTCGAGGAAAAAAATGCTCGCATGAAATTTTTTCCTCGAGCTTTCCTTATACGTCACGCACGATGGACTAAGCGAAAGAGGGACCACTCGTAGTCAAAATCGCCATAAAAATACAACTAACATGGTACAGAAGGCAACAAACGAGTCAAACTACCAGAGATTTCTTTAATCTTTATTGCAGTTGATTAGTAGATTCTGAAGAGTGGATCTCTGTGGCTTGGAAGAACTAATACGATAAAGCTTGAATACAATTGAATGTTCGCAATACTGACGCTGATCGCAACTGAAATCGAAATCTAAAATTCTAGTCCTAAAACGAACTATTCATGAGCTGTCAAATAAAGGAAAACGAACTGTTCATGAGCTGTCATATACAGGAAACCCCAATTAATCGCTAAACTATTTAAGGCTACAGAGAAACATAGAAAAATAATCGCGCATTGTTGAAAGTCAGGCATTCTTCGTAAATCACGGGCTGTTCGTGTTCATGTTCATAGATCACGCCACGAAAGTAGAGCTGTTCATTACATGCCATAAGGACAGATAAATTAACCATCGCATCAACTAATTACGGCAACCATACTGCGCTGATAATTTCAGTGATATTCGGTTTTCTGTGATCTTTCCATGCGCTAGTCTTTTTTGGCGTGATCGCAGTCACACTCCAACAGCCATTTGGAATTACATTTTGCACACCAAGAGTACAAAATGTACATGTTACGTGTGACATTATAATACAAGTGAAGTTTATTTCGACATTTTATAGTGTAAAATAGCTTTACATGAGCATATTTAGAACTAAAGCGAGTTTCCCTTGCAAAATCTATAACACATCAACAGTCACATACCACCGAGTTTGCGCGGCTTGTGGATAACAAACACTCCGGTATATAATTGAACAGAACCAAAATATGCGAGTCAAAAGTAAATGCAAAAACAAGAATATGCAGAAAAAAAAAGTACTCAGTCTGCACAGTCTGCATGGTCTGCACGGTCTGCACGGTTTGCGGTCTGCAGTCTGCAGTCTGCATGGTCTGCGTTTTGGGGTGACCGACGTGTAGCGTATCGCTAGGTCTTTTGGGAGGAATTGAGTAGGCCATTGTTGTTTTGAGTACATGTAATATTTTCCACAGCTTATCGTCGCGAGTTGTTTGCAGTTTTCGAGGTAAGTTATTTTCCATTTCTAAATTGCTTTGCCTCGTTTTTGTTACATATCATCATTCTTTCCGCACTTCCCTCGAGAACTGTGTACTCTTTGCTACTTTACTTAGATCTTAGTGAGAAAATTTCTCCGCCGATACAAGATTTGTTTTGCGCACGAAAGCCATTAACTTATCCAGGCTGGGCTCGTGTTCAGTGTAGATTGTGCGGGAGAAGTATTCGCTTTCGCAAGCAGTCACCTTTACACAAACGAGTGTCAGTTATTGGACTCTACTGTTTTCACGTAAATCGTATACATGTACTTGTTCTGTGCAGTCATTTTGAGCAGCTGTGAATGCAGTCAAACTGCTGAACTTACATGTACTGGAGCTGTTTGTTAACTACATGACAATATTAACTGCGAGTATGGGGACATCAATTGAACAATACCGGTCGAGGAAGCGAAGGATGTCTTATCACATGTTCAACGGGGTTGGATTCTTATCACGTCTTAGCCAAATGTGTTTTACTTGACAACATTGAAATTCTGGACATGTACAGAAATGATGGGCTAAATTTTGTCTACATCCCATTGCTTGTAAGGGAAAGTGAAGGATGTGGAGAACAATTCAGACCCTGCAGTATTTAATAAGACTAATTCAAAAACAACTGTGTCTGCTGGCCACAAGTCAAGGAACTGAGGGAAGCACACTTTGGTGAACGTTGGTAAGCAGTGTGTTGCAAATTATGTTCGCTTGCTTATCGTTAAAATTTGCAATAAAATAGAAGACACTGTTCTCAGAATATGCTTATTGGATCGAGTTCCACAAGATATCAATTCTGTACAAAAAATGTGTATTTGCCGTTAACTTTTACAATGAGGTTAACTAATATTCCATGAATAGTTTCGGTTTTGCCAGAATGTACATCCAATGCAACGTAATGCAGTTTAATACATCGTTCATTATTCTTACTTTTGACATCAAACAATGCCCAATATATGTCTCTTAAAAATCACTTGCAGAAGCGTTTTCAAATAATTTTCTCACACTCATCAATAACTCATCAAGTTTAAACAATGTAAATCATAACTGTGATTGTGTTTGGATATCTGATCTTATTTGGCATAGATGTTGTAATTTTAAGTCGCCTTTTTGTCCTTAGTTTTAGTTTCAATTGAGAAGATAGGTGCACTTGTGTATAATAATAGCGTGTCAAACACCGAAGACCACTTTTCATCACATTTCCAACACCTCAAATTTTGCCAAATATTCTCAGCTGTGTGTTATATTTTAAACACTCTTCTTCATATTTGGAAATGTGGTTAAACACGGCCTTTCATACCTGATATATTATATCATTGTTACTAAAATTGTTGTTTGTTACAGTTTTAAAGACGTCACAGCACAGCTTTGACATATTTTTAATTTAACTTCGAGGATTTGCATGGGATACCCCTTTCATTTGGTAGATACACTTTAGTCAGCATTGAAGAGCTTAAAAACCTATTATATTTGCAATTGTCTTGCTCACAAACATGGACTGGTCCTTTCAAAATTAAAGGTGTACTGCACATGTCTTGATTTGTGGTTGTCAGCTGATATGCAACAAGTTCAACACGACCAGGAATGTGATTACAATGAATGAATTTGTGTACAAGAAATTCTCCTAAAAAAGCCGATAACAGTTGCACTGTGTTTTTCAAATTAACTTCCCACTGTGAATAGCATGAGAAAAAGTATGTTATTATCTTCTTGTTTTTTAAAACAGATCCAACCGATCAAAGTAGTATTGGGTTTGACAAAACGATTACAACACCTACAATGAGAGAAATCTGTACCAGGTCGTGTGAGCATAAAAACCTGGTAAACCAGAGTGAAGCACACTGAGCAATGTGGAACACTCCTTTAGACATAATTTTGATGCTTGTCATGTAGCAATGACTTTTTATCAAGTTCCAGCTGATAAACCTGTACTGTATACTTTTCACGTGAGTCGTTGGAAGCTCTATTACACAACTCTTTATACAACTGAAAGCTAAAAGCCACTTGAAGATTAATATTGAATCCAGAAACAAACATGGATGCACTCTTCTATCCAGAAATTATTATGCAAACTACTGGTCAATCATCAACATATACTTTTAACATCACAAGGATCTACATGTGTCAAAAGAGGCATGCAGACTGTATGAACAATATGTTTTATTTTTATATTGTTTTTACTGCATTTACAGTAACATTTTACCACATTTTGCATGATCTTAAAGCTGGCAATTAACAAAAGAACCTACATCCTGTATGCAAATTGATTATTCTTATTCCACGTGACAATATTTCTTTCCAGTCATGACAAAACGTATTCAGAACTTCAGTGGNTTATCTTCTTGTATTTTAAAACAGATTCAACCGATCAAAGTAGTATTGGGTTTGACAAAACAATTATAACACCTACAATGAGAGACATCTGTACCAGGTCATGTGAGCATAAGAACTAGTAAACCAGAGTGAAGCACACTGGACAATGTGGAACACTCCTTTAGACATAATTTTGATGCTTGTCATGTAGCAATGACTTTTTATCAAGTTCCAGCTGATAAACCTGTACTGTATACTCTTCACGTGAGTCGTTGGAAGTTCTATTACACAACTCTTTATACAACTGTATGCTAACAGCCACTTGAAGATTAATATTGAAACCAGAAACAAACATGGATGCACTCTTCTATCCAGAAAATATTATGCAAACTACTAGTCAATCATCAACATAAACTTTTAACATCACAAGGATCTACATGTATCAAAAGAAGCATGCAGACTGTATGAACAATGTTATCAATGTTTTTTATGTTGTTTTTACGGCATTTACAGTAACATTTTACATTTTGCATCATCTTAAGACTGGCAATCAACAAAAGAACCTACATCCTGTATGCAAATTGATTATTCTTATTCTACGTGACAATATTTCTTTCCAGTCATGACAAAACGTTTTCAGAACTTCAGTGGAATTGACACCATTAACAAGGTGTCTATTTGGGACCAACTTTTGAATTCTCACTTGCTGACTTTATTATGTAACTGGCTTAGATATCACAGCAAACCCTCTCGACAGTACATGTACAAGTTAATTTGATATCTGTAAACAGTCATCAATAAAATTAACAACAACTTACTTATGTTGATACCTAATATTCAATATTACCTTATTTATTTAAATTTATACCTTTATCTTTCTAGTGATGGCCTATTCACTTGTAGTACTTTAACTCCCGAATACTGACGTTTAAAACTGGCTTTCCAGCTGAATGGAATAAAAGTAAATCTAAGCCCACACAAGTACGCTTTGTCAGCAAGAGCCTCATCTATTTCTGGCTTACTTTTCAAAGGTATCCCAATATAGGCAGAAGAGGTAAAACTTGGAAAGCTCATACCAAAAGTGGTACCAAAACGATTTTAAACCCAAAATGATAGAACGAAAATCCCCGAGAATGCGTGTCGACATGTTCTCTTCTATGAGAAGTTGTCTTGATATATATTCAAATTCTCTTAAGTAATACTGAAATCAATTATTTGATGAAACAGACCCAAATTTTTACGTCGATTGTGATATTAGATATAGTTTCAAGGAGTTATGTCACGATGTTATAAGCCATTTTCTCCAAAGAAAATTTTAATAAGGTTGGGAAGATGCAAAAACGCAATAGGAAAAAACAAAACATGACAAGTTTTTAAAAGATTGAGACATATTGAGAACGACAAGAAGAAAA